ATGATGTACTTGATTTGTGATTTCTACTTGTGTGTTTGTGCGTGTGTGAGAGACTGTGTGTGTGACTCAATGTGTGAGTGCATATGAGAGTGTTTTGATGATAGCAATCACTGTTATGGCGTCCCTGACATGGTTACCAGATAAACGGAAAGCAAAATATATACGGACAGGTGTTCACACACATACATACACACAGCCTTTTCCAGTAAGGGATTATGGTTAGCTGATAAAGTATTGATAGAAGCTGATTGACAGACCTTATTAAAGAGCTGTTAGTTATTACTGAAGCATTTACCTGGCTGCTGACAGGACACTGTTGTGTTTTTTAGCTTTAAAAACGTGGAAAAGCTGAAAATGAATTGCGTGTGTGACTTTGTGTGTGTTACACTCCTTTTTTGCTCAAAGTAAAATGGCTTTGTGCTTTGAATGTCCTGCCATGCTGTTGATCAAAACAGTCTTTCAACTCACAAAAACACACAGTCACACACACACAGACATGCAAACGCACACAGTGGGTGAACAGATGACACTTTGATATGGGAAAGCTTTTATGTCACTTTCAGTGACGACAGAAAATACCACTTACGCAAATAAAGTAAATATGAGGCCAAATCCACTCTGACATGCACTCATTTCACCTCGGCCGCTGTCAGAAGGCCTGCAGCCCTAAGTTCTGGAAAATTCATTTGAAAATTATGGCTCTAATCTGATTAACTCTTGTGGTTAAACAGGGGATCACACCAGATTATTTTGTCTTTTTTTATTCCGTTGTGAGGACATCAGTGATGATTAGCTTGAAAACAAAGGTTGAGCTTGTAGAAAAAGGACAGCAGATAAAACAGCAAATGTAATAATCACACAATTCACCCGTCAAACAAAAGAGGCAGTGAAAAATGATAAAGTCTGGCCAAAGGTCATAGATATCGCAATTACACGTTTCACTGAAATCAGGGTTGAAAAGACAAAGTGACTGTGAACATTTTGTACAGTCAGCCGCTGAAAATAAGCCTGCTGGATTATAAGTTTAGCTTTGTGATGCTGCCCTTCAAACAAACCTCCAAAAACACAGAGGAGCGCAAACTTGTAAACTGTCTGACACATACACGCCCCAAAACGGAAAACATTTGATTTGGTTGGACACGGTAACGCTGCGGCTGAGATCAGCATTGTTGATGTGTGTGGCTGACTGACTGTGTTTGGCGTGTCCTGTGAGTGTGCGTGACACGTCTCGATGATGCGCTTGATTTAGTCTGCCGGTTTGGGGTACTCTAATCCGCCACGCACTCGCTGGTACTACCTAGTTATTCCACTGACAGCTACTGCCTTGGGAACAGGAGCTGGAGCTCACGCATGCAAAGCACTCACAAATTTGTACACACAGGCAAAATTGGGACACACACACACTTCTTGAGGCACCGTTCATTCTGATCTCGCTTTGGGACTACTGGAGACAGATGGGTGAACAGTGGGAGTCTGGGCTGCCATCACTCCAAGAGCAAAGGCACGCAGGCATAAATACACACATTTTATATAGAAAGGATCACAGACTTGGTCAGAAAGTGGCACACATACAAACAGACGGGCTAAAATGCTCAAGGAAACGGCTAACTCACACAATCTCACATACACACGCAACACGCTGGCTAAGCCACAGTCACACGCATACTTATTTACTTGTAAACACTGTCTCAGAATTAAACACTGCTTCTTCTTCTTCAAACACACACACACACACACACACACACGGGAAGAAACATGCATAGCTTCATCTATTCTCACACATCGAGAGAACAGTTAGCTTTTATTTGAAGAATTTTAAGCAGATATGTTACACAAGAGAACCAGAGCTGGTTTAATTGTGCGAGCAAAACATGAGCTTTCAGTTAGGTGATAACTGATTGCCTTTTTGATCAGAATCAGAATCGGCTTTATTGGCCAAGTAAGAGTGTATACAAGGAATTGGGCTCTGATTTTGTTGAGCTAAACACAATAAACAAACGTTCTCGTGTGTTTGCTGTCACAGGGTTGTTATCCTGGGCCAATCTGTACAATATGTACAGCACATCGGCACAAGCACATGTAGGGCTAACAATTCAATTACTTACAGAGTTTGATATATTTCAGATCAGTCTCCACCACAGATATCAGACAGTCCACATACAGCATACCTCATAACATATAGACATTTTAATAAGGAGAGATCATTATCCTTTTTCTTTTTTCTTCTTCTATGTGTTACTCCATTTCACCACTTAGAGAATCATGAGTATTGACGTGTCTTTCTCATCTAGTTCACCTCATAAAGAAAATTTTCCCACCAAAGCACAAAAGCATGGAAGAGGATTAGGGCCTATTATTACTGTATTATGCATTACTCACTATAAGTGTATAATTCAAAGGTTGTCCAAATAAATTGGGTGGGGTTCACCTTTCATGATGCACTGCTCAAAGTTTGACCCTGCGTGCCTGTATATTATCAATAGCACTCACTCTTTCCCATTACCACACCCATAGCTTGGTAATAAACAATAAAGCAAGTAAAGGTCATTATATTACTGTAAAACACATACTGGGCAGTATGTAGTTGCTTACTTTTACTTCTACTAGCGGTAAATGTCCCCTAAACAAAGATAATGTTGATGTATAAATTCATCTCTTCCCAGAGATTTTCTTTGCACAGGGTCTCTAAACAGCTTATTTCACCTTTGTTTCTAGAGTAGAAAAATCCCCTGCCGAGTTCATAACATGTCACTCAAATTGCACTTCTTGATTAAGCTTCATGATTATTGTCTGTCTGGTTTTGTCTAGTCTGCCATGCATAACTCTGAGTGCTTATTATGTTTATTCTTCCTGCTCTCAGTGGTTATTTGCGGTGTTTTAGGAAAGAACAGGATGTTTTGTTCCTGCTTCCTAACTGTCCAGGTCACACAGTCTCACTCATTATGGGTCTCTGATTGGGGTTGATTACAGAAACATGTCAGATTTGATTGCTTCTGTCTGGGAAATGTACGATGAGAGACGTGTTCAGGAGTAGTCGAGAACATATCATAACCTTTAGCTTCCTCGTGTCTTTTTTTTTTTAACCAAACTGTGGAAGCATTACTGATAACAGAGCAGATTTTTTTTGATGTTGTTGTTTTTTTTTTTACTTTTTTAATGTGTAAATACAAAGTTGTTCAAGTGCAGCCATTGTTAGACGTGTAAAACTATTCATTCCACTCAGCACAGCGCGTTCACTGAGTACCTGCTTCAGCTAAAGAACGGGTATCCACATATGCACATACTTTGGCAAGTTCTTGCAAATGTTACGTTTACATATTTCATCTTACACTTTGATAGATATCTATGCATGTGTATAGGCATGCATTATAAGTGAAGGTATAAGCGGCGTCCTGCAGCAAATGCTTTTAACCTTGGCTAATATCTGTCTGCAGCAGCTTATTGGCAGTAAAATGTGTTAGCATTTTACCTTAATACTGTGAAATAGAAGACTTTACATAATGTAAAATGACAGGGACATATTTTTGATCAGTAAACAATCAGCCTCTTACTCAGTAAAATAAACAAGTCCCAACAGCTGGGTTACACCTCACAGGACTGTTGCTAATAATCCAAAAATTATTAGATGTCAGCTTACAACTTGTGCGTGACAGCTCACCTGTAGAAAAGTACACAATGTCATCTACTCTCATATCCTGATTGATCCCATCTCCATGTCATCAGTAATTTATAGTTGTAAGCCATTAATGAAGTGGCTCTTCTCACTTTAAAAGGAGATGGATGCTGCCTTTGTTTGATGCTGTTACTGTCTATCACAGCCGTTCATCCATCCATTCTCACAGGCCACACTGGGAGCGTTGCCACGGCTAAAATAGAGACACAGACAACCACAAACTCACATCCTAGCACAGGCCAGCTCCACCTACAGAGACACAGGACACTGACCAAGAGGTAAACCAAAGCTGCTGGAAGTTTATGCATGAAAGGCACTTGTAGTTAGTCATTTTTAAAGAATTCTTGGGAGGTAATTAGATGAATCACCATGATCACACCAAAAACACACCTGGAGCTGTGGCTAGAAGTTCCTCATGGGATAATATTTCATCTAATCCAACTGTCCCTTGGTCGTATTTCTGTATATGATATGGCCTACTTTCACTTCACTGTTAATGGCTCTGTCACAGTTTGAGTAAAAGTAGGACAGGAACCTGCTTGTGAGTACCTGCGACTTTTTGCTGCTGGAGACTGATTGCAAGTAGTTGCAGATTGAGGTTGCAACACCCTCAACCTCTGGACAACTACTTTTGATTGCAAGGTTATTGCACAGGTTGTCTGGTGGGAGGCAATTGGTCTGCTTACTATTGTGACACACAATAGTATACCTACAAAGGCAGATTTCTAACACATCAGATTGCACTCAGTTTGAGCCAGTTTGTACCACTGAGCACAATTCATGTGCAGTTCCTCTTTTTAATAAGGTACTTGATTCAACTAGATGACAACTGGTTGTGTTTTGTTTACATTTTTATATAAAATGAAGGTTGCCAATCGCCTATGACATTTTGCAGTTAAATCATTATCCTGCAGCAACTTTGTTACTATTGTGAAGGAATTTTTGTTTAAGTCTACGAGGCTCTGAGTGTAAGAAGATAGTCTGAGTTTCAGTTCACATGTGAATTTCTGTGTGTGTTAACACCAACAGAATTGCAATTTTTTTAACTTATCTCAGTTAACCATGAATTATCAACAAGTTACATATAATTGCGAACTTGACCCCATGCAGTTACAAACTGATAGCAGACTGCCATTTTATTGTAATTTTATTGCGATCTTGGTGCACAGTCTTTTTGAAGACAGCAATAATACACCAATAAGTTCATTGCACATAGTCACAATAATTGTTGCCATCGATCACTACTTGAATGGGAACATTTTTCAGGGAAGTCTCATTAAAATGACAGATTTTCTGTAATTCTGTACTTTTTCTTCTTCCTCTACAGACTGGCAATAACAGCTGCCAAGAAAGAGGAGGCAGAGCAGATACTTGGGAAAGAGAAGCAGCAAGTTGAAATTCACAGGTAAATTTATGACCAGGAAAAAGTAAAATGGCATGCGCATGGGGGAATACAGTTATGTGTTAAGGATTTTGTAAAGAAGCCAAAAACAGCTTGAAAGTTTCATTTTCATCCTGTTGGCGTGCGCCACCCAGCTTGGCTGTTTAGTTCTGGACAAAATTCATGACAGGGAAGTCCAGGGTAGATGGGAAACAACTGTGTGAGATGATAGCAGGAGGACAATAAAATAGAGAGTGGGAAAACAGAAGAGAGAAGGTTAATTCAGTTGACCCAGTGGTTAATTCCAGGAAATAGAAAAAGAGGATGGCAAAGACATGAGCAGCTAATACCAGGACAGAAGCAGATGAAAGAGGTGAAGAGGTAGAGAGTAGGAGAAAGGATATGAGAAACACCGAAAGCTGCTAAATGAGTAAACCAGTATGGGGAACGAACATGTGCAGTCTCTTTCTCTGAGTCTCAAGTTTTCCACTGTTTTAGGACTTATCACCAATGACAGATCTGGCTCATATCTGTTCCTCCATTCGGTCCTGTCAGCTTCGTGATTTATGTCATCTGACATTATAAAACTGGCTCTCGTGACAAGCAGTGCCCGTACTCCCCTCACCCTGCACGCACACATGCACACTCTGAGGCACTGCCGACCAGCTCAAGGTCTGCCCTCTCGTCCCGTCTTGTCTCGTTTCGTCAGAGACTCTGTTCATTTTTTTTATCACCTTAAACCACAAACCCCAAATAAGCTAAAACAACCACTCAACCCCGCAGAGCTCTCAAAAACAGTCCCATCATATTGCTCGTAAAACCCAGCCATGCTCATAATGTTAGCTTGTTACTGTGTATGTCTACCTGTGTGCGCCTCCATGTGTGTTCCTGTGTCTGGATTGTGTGCTTCCACATCTATGAGTATGCAGGAAAATAGGAAACTGTCCGGCGTCCTCTCACCCACAAAAGTGGGCTCGGAATAACAGAATGTTCTATTCCATTGCTCTAGTTTTCCATGCTTTACATTGGTCTGTGTGTCTGCCTGAGTTTGTGTGCGCGTGTGTGTGTTTGTATCCGTATGCAGATGTGAGTGAGGGCTAGTGATCTTTCATGTTTCTCAAAGTGCTTTTCGTCTGAACATATTTCTTTAAGAGTGAGAGAGATTTTGGTGAGGAAGAAGGCAGAACACCAAAAAACACTTTGTTTTTTTGTGGTTTTTATCCTCAGTCGCCTGCTGTCATTTATTTAGCTTCTGATTTTTGAAACTTTTACGTTTCTCCATTATTTTCCTACTAATTTATTACCTTAGAATTTAAGCAATGTTCAGTCCATGAGTCAAAATTTAGGAGAAATCTATTTGCACTCTGCCTCGATTTCCTCCTTTCTGTATATATTGTCTGCATCTCCTTCTATTCTTTGTCGTGTCCTCACTTGTTATGGGTGTAGCTTCTGTCTTTCTAGTTTCCAGACAGACTGCCAGCCCTGTTATACTTTTGCTTTTGTTTTCATGATATTTTACCAGCAAAAAAGCTGCAATTCTAAGTTTATCTCTGTCTGCTGAATCCTGCACTCTGGGTCCACTTTCTGCCTGTCACACGCTCCATTTCACATGACACTTTAAGATAAACGTAGCTCTCTTTTTCACACAAATTATTGTTTTATCCTATCAAATTAAGAATGCCCACATGTGCCCACATGTGCTGCCTAGCTCTTAGTGGGAGCTAGGCAGCACCAGCCAGGTTAACATTTGGTGTGAGCTTTACTGACCTCTCAAAGTTCCTCGTAAAGTGTTGGTAAGTGTCGTTAGCAGTGTGCCAACTAGAGGGGGTGAAAATGGTACTATTGTTATTGATACTGCTGCAGTTGAGTGTCTTGACTTGTATAATAGCAATTTTTAGTATTGATTAGTATCTTTTTTTTTTTAAATCCCTACAGTCAGCCTAAATTGTATCTCCCTGGAGCAAGTGTAGAAGGTTTCTAGTAACTGATAGCATACAGTATTGTTAGGAATATCAGATGAATGAGAGAAGAAGATTTAGCTAAGATCTCTTACTGAACTGGAACAGACAAAGTTGCTAATAATGGACTAACATCACTTTAACTTTACCTCTAAGACATCACCCCAATGTTCAAAGGCATCTGAATAGTTGTTTTAAACACTTTAAAAATGAAACTAGAATTTCTTAGTTTCAACATTTGTTTTGCTGTTTTATACTATTTTCAATCAAAATTAATGTTTACATAATGTGTAATTGATATTTTCTTTTACAGTTTTCTTTCAAAAATTTTACATCTGGTTTTCACAGTGTGTTATTTGTTTCACACCAGAACAACGCCACACTTTGCTTCTCTCTTTATCACATTGATAAACTCCAGTGGAGTAACAGCCTTAGTATTTGTAAAGGAGAGGGAGAAAGAATTTCCACTCTTAGTTTGCAATACAAAACAATGATCTTTCCAGGCGGCACCATTAAAAGTTAATGTGTGATTCGCACACAGTACTCTATTTAGAGGTTCAGATATTATAACCAAATGTGTCAAAGCAATGAAGTATTGTAAATTTATTTTTTAAAAATCAAAGGCTTTTCTGGAAATTGTAAAATCGAAACTATTTCAAGCTGTCAGTTTGTGTGTGTTTGTGTGTTTCAGAGGTGCTTGTGTGCAGCAGCATCAGGCCCTGCGAGCAACTCTGTCTTTGCTCCGCTCCTCTGGCAGCGCGCTCACAGATGTACGGGGTTTCCTCAGCCAACTGACAAGGGCCTGGCAGGCCTTCAGGTCTCAGATAATGCAGCACAACACACAGGTGTACTCAGGTAATACAGACTGTGCATGCACACACACAACACACACACACACACACACACACTAGTTCAAAGGAGTGTAAGAGAAACAAAGGTTTATATATATGAGAGTCATTTACAGCACAGTAAAGCGGTGCATGTGTTTTTGTAGAGTGCTAAAGTGGACATGAAAGAGGCAGAAAGAGTTGAGCAAATAATCTCTCGACAGGAATAAATATTAGTTTAACTGCGCCGTCAACTCTTTTAGTTCTGAGAGCAGCTCCCACAATGAATGGATCGCAATATGTGTGCGTGTCTGTGTGTTTATAGTTAATACACAAACTCTAACAATCTTTAAAGAGAGGTTAGACAGGATGAAATGTGTGTGCACGTCTTTATGGGTTCATGTGCCTAAAGTCTGTAAACCGATGAACCTCCTACGATAAAATTTAAATAGATGTAAGCAAATGAAGCAAGACTGCAGGCAGGCATGTGTTTGTGCGTTTTGTGTGTGTTCTGCACTGACAGTAAATGCCTGAAGGAGAGTTAACCTCCGGCTCACCTCATGGGTGGGTCGTTTTCTCTGTGCTGCACGTTCCAAACAGCTGCGAAGTGTAAGCGTGTATGTGTGTGTTTATAGCGGAGAGCAAAAAGAGAGAAGGGGTTTGATGCAGGAAGTCAAAGAAAGTGGTCTACTGTCTGTATTGATGTCGTGTGAGTGTGTTTGCTCAGTGACGTGTTCGTGAAAACAGCTGCTGCACGAACCAACGGATATAATAAACTACACACTGAAGAATGCACGCACTGAGACACAAACACCCCCATGTGGGCTCGTATACACAGTACATATGTTCAATGAAAGCAAATCTTCTGTAAGACAAATATAGAAACCTAATGTCGACGAGGCATTCTCTATTTGTTTTTCTCATCTTTAAAAACAATTCGGCATCTGGGTTTCTGAATATACCAATGCTGCAATTTTATACTTTGTACACAGGCTTACAGACGGGCCGGCCCCTCCCAGGGAAACTTTGTTTGCTAGGCAAAGACATGCGTATTTACTAGCTGGTTGCTGGAGGTTGTTGAACGTCGTCATGTGAAATCAGCTGCAAAGAAGGTGCTGCACCAAAAACGTCCTTGTGTTTGTTTTGGTCAAAAGCATATTACTGCATAGTCTGCAATAGTTTGGATGGAAGTTTGGATGGAAGACGCGAACTTGAAAATTAGCCACCAAGCAGTAGTGAAACTACTACATTTGCCTTCAAAGTAAAGTTGCTCCTTTTGAAACGTGTTGGTTGCAAACATTCATCTACTTCAGGGCCACTTTTCATAGTTTCACTACTGCTTAGCGAGAAGTGTATTCTTCTACAAAAAGTACGAGCAGCCTGCTAGTAAAGCAGGAAGCGCTGTATACCACTTTAAACGCAATTTCCCTCCCTTCCCTCACCCCCAACCAATGATAGCAGATGGCTCCCCCTCCCTGAGTCTTGTACTGCTGGATGGTTCTTGCTGTAAAAAGGGAGGTTTTTCTTCCCAAGTGCTTTCTCATAAGGGGTCATCTGATTGTTGGTGTTTTCTCTTAACTTATCAAATAAAGTGGCTTGAGGCAACTGTTGTGGTGATTTGGCGCTATATAAATAAAACTGAATTGAAAGTAGTTGCTGTACCAGTAATTGGCAACTCTATTTCTCCAAGCAGCCAGTGGTCGTCAGGGGATGCCCAACTGGTCTCTAGACCTGTATGACTGCGACTTCAGCAATCGATTTCACAGACAGCCAGCAACAAATCAGCAACTGGTATGGGGGGGGGTGTAGTTATACATATGAGTGTCGGTTCAGTTTAGTGACTAAAGTTCACCAGTTGCTGTATGTTTTGGTTTTGTGTAGTTTAAATTTAAGACTAGTATTGTGTCTTTTGTGTGTTGTTACGAAAGCTCAAAATAGGTTACCATGCTGCGCATTATAGTCAAGCTGATAATGTGCATAAGAAAGGCTTTTAACATCTTTATCTGCAACGTTTGATTGACAAGCAAAAATCCCATAATTATTCAGCTAGTTCTGGCTCGTTCCAACACCAGCTGGTTAATCAGTGACATGTTTTTAGCCCTACTGTGATACAATTACTGTAATTTCAAAACTGAACCACAAACCCTTTGCCAGTCACCTGAATGCGACTGCAAACTGATATGGGCGTTTGTCAGCTTTTAAACTGTGCTACTTGTCTGTCAGCATTCTGTGGTTAGCGCCGAACAGCAGACGAGCGGAGCAGGTGAGGTGGGGAAGAAGGAGCAGAGGGAAACATAAGGAGGTTGCCCAATGTGAATAGATAAATGTGGTTTATGGTTAGGTGGAAGAGAGGAGGGAGGAGAAGCCTTGAGGGGTGTGGAATTTTACAGAGAAACCAAGATAGAGACACACGGTGAGATTGGAGGAAGATGAAGATGCGATTAATCCAACTTTACTTTTGTGCAAATGTCAGCAGTTGACTTGTATGACTTGACAGTTAGAGGCGATGGACCCAGAGGTTTGAATGTGTGGGATTTTGGTGGAAACAGACTCGAGTGTCATGTGACTAAGCATGACTAAAGCCACACAAATGTGCGTGCGTGCTTGTGAGCATGTGTGCGGGTGTGTGTGACCGATCCGTGAACCACATATATCTGCCAACACCGTGGGCCATCCCAACACTCTATAGTATCTATTTCCCTGGGAGCCAACTTTCTACATGTGTGAGTTGATACCGATAGGAGGAATATAAAAATATCAAATATATGTTCACACAGCTTAGCAAATACTGCCTCCACATCTCTCTGTTTCCATTTCTCAGTCGCTCCAAAGCATTTTAATGTAAACATGGATAAGAATTGTATTGGGGTATAATCAGCTAAAAGTTTATGAATTCCTGTAGGGAGGTATTCAGGTATAGCAGGTTTCTAAAAGACAACTGCAATGCAGTAATAAGCCGCTATTACTGAGCAATTTTCACTTCATAGCACTTACTTTCTCTGAGAACGTGTAGTGCACTCCTTGGTGTTCTAGTTAGGTAAAAAAAATTTCGAGGTAGGAACAGTAAACTCCTTCAGGGGTCTGCTGTGCAGCACTTACATCAGATTTTTTCCCCTGAAGCTGCTGTGGTTCAGAAGGTGGTATGCTTTCATTATGCATAATAAACTAGGCAGACACACAAAAATGCATGTGGTATGCTTTAGAATGTGATGTTATAGTAATGTAGACTCCAGTGTGTAAAAATTCCAGTGTGTGCGTGTGTAACTGTAAAGGTAGCTCCAATTTTGCAGGATCTTAATGTTGCCTTGGCTCCTGTAGTGTAGGTTACTGTAACCTAGCTACGTTATGGGCTAGAGTTATTAGTGGCGTTGCTTGTTTCAGTCCATCCACAGCTTTAGCCTCAGGCTGCGGCAGTTGCTGCGTGTTTGCAAAAGCAGTTGTAAACTGCTGTTTATGTAAATCACATGTAAAAGATGTTGATGCTTTGCCAAAGATAATCTGTAGTTTGACCCATCCTTAGTGTGAACCCCCCCTTTTATCTCCCTCTGAAGGGAGCGGGCTTGCAATCGGTTTCATTTGGTTGCTTGTCTGCCTGTTTGTTAGCAGTCGAGCATTTTAAGATATCATTTGTCAAATTGCTGATTTAATTTTGGTGAAAATCGCTTCCAGGTCAAGATCACAACAAATGTCTAAATCAGTTAAAACTTACTATGTTGCCCACATTGTTTTATGGATTGTTTTCAAAGTTCACAACAATATACTCGGCCTTGGGAGACTAATTTCAAAAAACCATAATCAAGCAATATGTCATGTGGCATGGAGAGATGTGGGTAACGTGCATACGATGCCTTATGACCCACAAAGCAAACTGAAATCATCATATTGCCATAAAAACATCATAAATAAAAATCAAAGTTTTAGTTTAGCCCCTGCACTCTCTCAGTGATTTACCACATCAGTTTATTCTGCAGTTAGATTAGTCAAACTGTAGCTTTGTTTTTTGTCTTGTAACATATTTTTCCCTCCATGGAGTAAATCTTATTCTTGGTGTTTTTAGAGTGCCTTGAGTTCATAGCGTTGTGTTTGTGGTCATAAGAGTTCTTATGTTTTCTGGATTGACTTTCTGATCTCCCCTGGTATTGGGTTTGAATTATTTGCAGAGCTGTACTCACTCAAAGAAAATCTTGGTCAGCTGAAATGTCCCAACACTTCAACCAATGCGTTTTTCACAGGGAGGCGTTACCTCAACATTAAAGCTACCGCAGTGTGTGGTGCGCACTCTGCCTCCAAGCCATATTACAGCAAATGAATAATAATTAGGTATAAAAAGCCAGTATACGCTCACTGAATGATTTGACCTCATCACTTTATACAGTGGGGCAAAAAAGTATTTAGTCAGCCACCGATTGTGCAAGTTCCCCCACTTAAAATGATGACAGAGGTCAGTAATTTGCACCAGAGGTAC